CTACTCCTATCAATAAATATCCTTCACAAATTTCTTCACTGTATTCTAAATAAACAAGCAAGATTTCGCGAAAACTACAGTATCGGTAAAACATTTCACAGCTCTCCTTTTATGAAAAAGATAGAAATGAAAAGTGCTTCCGCGAGACAGAATAAACTGGAAAGTTTGATGCTGATTTCTTACAGCTGAAAATCAATGATATTACCAAAACGCAATATTTTTCTTAATTTGAATTATAATTGCAATTAAGATGAAATTGCTGACCAATTTCTCAAAAAAAGCATGATAACGGACTCTTTTTATCAAACTTGAAATTAAATCATGCCTAAAAATTATTTTTTTCAGCCACTCTTCAATCAAACTAGTTATGTTTGTATGTTCTGTTTTTACCTTTTTTTTATTTAATTGAAAAACGATGCTACAGAACAAATCAGAAAACTGTTAACTGAAAAGTTAGCTATGAAAAACAGTTGTTCAAAGCACAAAATAATTTGTCATTAGTTTTTTTTTGTAATCCCTGAGAAAAGAACTGATTACTTCAATAAGATTTTGGGGACTTTAGATTGAGTACTGTGAAAAAATTGCAATCTCATATTTTTCATTTCAGTTTATCACTTTGCTAAAAAAGTTTCTCATTTCACAAAAATGTCACACTCAATCTGGGAAAAAATGATTAAAAAAAATCAACGCCTTTAAAAGGGAACAAAGCTAAGAGATTTTGTGTTTTTATCGACTTCCATACAAGTTTTACTGGTATTCAAGAAATCCTATAACTCCGTCGAAAATGAAGTAGCCGTAACACTTTGTGAGCGGTTACTAACAAAAATGCATTAGAAGTTACATCTGTTCAGTTGTTTTTGATAGACTTATTAGTAACTCATAATATGATTGCTATATAAAATATCTTAGAATTACCTGAAAATCATGTCGGTATACGTCAGTTGAAAAATTTTCATAGCCAAGTTGTGCTCTTTTATCCTGCAAAGAAAAAGCAAATTTTTACACAACAGTTCTTAAATTATATAATAAAAAAACAGGATCATAACTTTAACCAGAATTGCCGGTAAAACAATTATATTCCGCGCAAAGCCAATTAAAAAATCGAAACTGTTGGTAATAATGAATCAAGCAACAACGTTACAAATTCCTCTCTGTTCAATAACGCATACTTTTTGGCTAATCCGTAAACGACGACGAAAAAAATCCGTGACTAATCGAAATGTAGATTTTCGCTTTGCATCCGATCGAGTGAAACCGGCAGTATCGCTGAAAAACCAAAAAAAAAACTTTTGCCCAAACAAAAGTTGATGCAAAGATTTCGCCAGCTACCGAAAGCAGAAATTCAGAAAAAAAAAAAGAAAGAAAATGATAAGAAAAAAAGAAAAAAGTAAAAAATCCATAAAAAAGTAATGCCAATTCTATGAATATGAATCTTCGCACCAAAATGCTTCTTTTTCAAACTTCCAAGGGTCACTACTAAACTAGAACAACTGAAACAAAAAAGCTTTAGTGGCATTAAGTGATTGATTGAGGCAGCAGAGTTTTAGAGATTTGAGAATTTTGAGCATGACACTGTTGCCCTATTTAAAATCAACTAATTTTTAGCTCCTGATGGTGATGGCATACGTACCTTATGAGCTAACCAAATAACACCCAAAAATAAATGTGAATTTGAACTTTTTTCCTAAGAAAATACAAATTTTCACACCAAAACACTTTTTTCAAACATCTACAGGTCACTACTAAAACAGATAAGGGCTTGAGAAGCTGATCCACGCCCATACCTAATGTAACTTTCCTTATCGGTATACATTAGATATCTTGAATCATTCATTGACGGCTCCTGTTTAGGATGCCGTGTTTTTCTACCTGAAATGTAATCAATATATCTTCTACTAGAAACTATTTGAATACTTCATATCATAAAGAATAAAGGAAACAATGACTTTCACAGCCAATATTATGAAAAAGACAAGTTTTAAGTGGAAAAAAAAACTAACTTCGCACACTGTCTTTTCTCTCATACTCCCGCCTAATATCCTGAGTGGAAACCGAAGAATGTTGGTGGAACATTCTGAAACAAAAAAAAAAAAAAAACTAAGAAGTGGTTTTTATTTTACATCCATTAAAGTCCATTAAAAAGCGACCAGCAAAGTAACTCCAAAGTCCTCCTCATTATTCACTGTAGCATTGTTCTCAAATATATCTAAGCAAAAAATAAAGACCTCTGTCCGCCTGCTAAATATTTTCCTGCTCAACCTTCATCATCTACTTGCTTTTTAGAAAAATTTAAGTTAAATATTGGTGAAAGATAAAAAAGGCTTTAATGTTATCTCAACCTTTTACAGCATTTGCATGAAATCGACCTCTATTATTAAATATGAAGAACAAATAAGAAAGTTGTTTGATATCAAATGATACCCTCTGTTCCCGACCGTTCTTTCCCGACAGTCGAAATTATCAGTAACAAGGTTGTAGTTTTTCTCCGGGCGATCTGCTAAAAACCGGCTTTGTACTTCTGATTCATTGGTGTCAAATCTAAATTGAGCTCGATGACACAGCAAAATGCAATTGCAGCCGTAGACAAAATAATTAAAAGTACTAAACAAGCGAAATGACTGCGAATAAAATCTTGTATAAAACTGTTCCTAGCAAAAATGATGAAAATGAATCAAAGCTCCAAAGTGTTACGATTGTGTCACAGTAAATACTTGAAGCATTAATGTGGTCTACATTAGTTTTAACTAATAACACAAATACTAGAGTTACATACTTTTTTAAACCCAAATAACACAAGAATCTGCAAACGAGGTAAAACTTTTTTCAGTGCCATTGTATATATAACTTATTTTTGACTGATGACAGTATTGCTTAGATCCATGTGGAAAAGGTACACTAAATGGTGACTAGACAGATCAAACAGTGGGTGAACAAAGCTTGTTTCCTCCTGCTTCACCTTGATAATTTTTTTCCTGCAGTACTTAAGAACACGGTACAAAATTTTTAATTCCACTCTAGATGATTGCTAGTGGCACTTTCTGTTCTGATCCTAGCAACTTTGCCGGCAAAACTTCCCTATGACTTTTCGTCGCTACCATTTTTCTGGTGATCGCAAAGATAAGCAGTTTGTAACTTATCATTCAGAAAATGTCAGGTGTAACCTGGACATTGAAAAAAACACTTGGGCTATTATGGTAAAGCTGTTCAGACAGTTTCAATTCAACTACCACGTACCTTGCAGTTATCAAGAATAAGTAAATCCTACATACAAACGACGTTCCATTCTAAATAATGGTACGTCTGCGTACAGTGTAAAAATAAAATAGCCCAGATGAGTTGAGAAACAGACAAAAAGTCGCTAATCCTCCTTCAGTAACTGATGCGGAAAAGGTTTGAACAACTAGCCCAATTTTCTTAGCGAATGTAACCTTCACCAGACCGTATGGAGTATGGTATCAAAATACTGTAGTCTCAATTCTCCGTACAAAACTTTCATATTTATTGGTCTTTAAAAACCTATTCAGACTCCTCACTGTTCAGAATCCATTTACCACAGATAGTCACTTAGAATTCCTGACTGATGTTCAACGCTTAGAAATAACTAAAATTGATTAAAATTTGGAAAATCATTAATGAGGCAAAACCAAAAAAATAAAACTGCTGGCTGAATTAACGACATTCTTGATAAAGTTATTTTTTTTTTCTCTTCCAAATCCATCTAAAAAACTTAATACATTATGAAAGAAACTACCTCTGAAAATGCAAAAGCAAAACGCAAAAAACCTCAAATAATACCTAAGTGATAGGGTAACGTCTTTAAGAGCAAAAAAACTACTACATTTATGACCAAGCCTAGTTTGAACAAATCATTTAATTTTACCACAGTTGCTTCTGGAGACGCCACAACAGTCAACATTAGTGAGGAAATGTAATTAAGCCATGAGTCCACCTGATGTTTATCCAAGCATTTAAACTGTCCAAAAAAAAGAGAAAAAAACATAACAAGTAGTGTTACCCACTAAGTGCTATAACTAAATTTTTGACCGATTAATTCGCAGTAATAATCACCCTATCAACACGGCTAACATTACAACATAGATGCACAAAGATTAATAACGAACAAGCAGAAATGTTTCACTATTTTAAGCAACCATAGAATAAAATTTATGAACAAAACAGTCTAGACAACCTATCTCCTAATATGCAAAACAAGAAGGCATAAAAATTAGTACACTAAATTATCTATTATTATCATCAATGGCAGCAACAACAAATTGTATTTTTTTTATCTTTTACAAATCGTTCATTTGTTTTTTAATTAAAAATCAACAGCAAAACAGTTATATAATTAATATCAAAAAATAGTGTTAAAAAAATTATTGTATATTGATAAAAGAGAAATTTCTCTTAAAATTTAAACATTTGATATACTGATGTGTTTTCAAAGTATTCCGTATAGTATGACCAACATTACTCAAAGTGCTAAGGTATTATTAGAAATCAAAATACCTACAAACAATATAGACAAGCAGCAAAAATAAATTTTTTTTTGAAATGACTCACCAAAAGAACTCTTCCGCAAACCAACTGTGAAATTTTGCTAAGAAATCCCTAGCCACCCAGTGTTCCATGAAAAAAAATTTTTGAAAGTTTAGGTTCTTTTACTTTAACGCCTTCGTTTTCCTATTCTTTTAAAATACCAAATACTGAGAGAGTGAAAATAAGTAAAAAAAAAATGAAACTTTATTTCCTCAACACTCTTTGTAGTTGTTCTTGATGTTTGTTGGTCTGTTTTTTCATTTGTCTTTTTGTTTGTTCTCTCATCCACTACTAGTAAACTGGTTGATGGAGGGTGAAAAGAGGAAGAAAGTGGAGAGGGAAAAAAGGAAAAGAAAAGAAACAAGGAGAAACCATTCCATGAACTTATCTTTGAAAGAAGTAGAAAAAAAAAGACAAAACCCCAATAAATTGACTGCAATGATCCCAAGTGAACTGAACTAGTCCTAAGTAAATAATGCGAACACAAATACACATTCAAACATATAAACACACACTCATCACCTACCCACAGACATACAGACACACCAAAGCACAGACACAGACACAAACACCTTATCACACTTATACAAGCAAATGTAAAAACCCTGATAAAAAGACAAGCAAGTTTAGACTAACGACATGCAAATATATAAACAGGCATACACACCTGCACGTTAGGTAACAAACTTAGCCAAATGATAACATTTTTTACCTTAATAAAACAAGGAATCCACAGGTAGACAAAAAAAAAAGAAATAAAACACGCTGAAAGAAGTCAACAACAGGAAAGTGCAACAAACTTCGAATAAAGTCGTCGATCACTGCTACTCAAATTCTGCAACGATTTATGCCGTGTAGGACTCCGCCGATTCGGATCGTGAAACTGATGTACAGTTTCATTGACCAATAAGCAGCTGTAGTCAATGTTATTATTGTTGCTGGTGCTATCGCTGCACCTGATGCCACCGCTATTCATTTGTGCTTTCCAATCACTTTAGCATATCATCATTGTCCGGCTTTTTGAACTTCCTCTTTTTCCTTTTCTTTTTCTTCCTTCTTTCTATTTTTCTATAAAATAAATAATCCATTTAATTTTAACTCCTAACAATCTAATGAAAAAACTGTTGCAAAGCGAAAGAAGAAAAATGCACAAGCAAAAAACTTAGCAAGCGAAATGCAGAAAGAAACCCCAACGTAAAGGAAAAGCATACATTGTTCAAAATGACAAATCAATACAGACTATCATTTTTCAACAAATTCCCCAGATGATTCAATTTCCTCTATTAAAGGTAAAAGAGTTACCAGTGGAATAGATAATGACAAAACCACAATAAAAACAATAGCAAAAAACTGAACAACATACAATTCAATAAAAAGGATTGAAGGTAGAAGAAAACTACTGAACATTCAGTCCAAAATATGTTTTAATGTTTCAATTTGAAGATACTTTTTGAACGTAAAAAAATAAGACCTTGACGGTTTACAAGCTAAAAGATACCATGAAAAAGTAACCTAAACTTTTTTTCAAAAAGAAAATGCTAGCAAAAATAATGAAAAAAAGTCACGCTCTTTTCACCTTTTTCATCAACGTTCTCATCTTCTTTTTCTTCCAATTGCTGAACTGGCAAATTAAAAAATATTCCAAATTTTTCTTTAAAAGAATACTGTAGAAAAATACCCCAACAAAATTTGAATTAATTTATAGTAATAATAAGAAGAAACAACGAGATACTGAATGAGAAGAGGAGATGCAGATGAAGAAGAAAATGAGGAGAAAGGGAAGAAGAAGTAAAAAGAGAAGGGTAGGATCAAAAAACAAAAGTGACAAGACTAACAATAATCATAACAAAAATAAAAATAGAGACAGTCAATTTCATATCCCCCATTAGGAAATTTTTTGATATTGAAAGTGGTTTCTGTTAACAAATTCGGTTGTGAGATTATGCAACACAACCTTAAGATATTTAGCCGCAAAAAAAGCAATGAATATCTAACAAAATAATAATAGTCGTTGTCATTCCTAGGACTTTACAGTTCCGCGTTACCGCGACCAAGACACCAAAGATCAATGTGTTCTTCGCATCTTTACCAAGAACCCCAAAAGCGCCATCGCACTTTCCGGACACCAAAAAAAGCTGTGCCAACCACAGTTAACAATCTACTTAATGGCCACACTGATTGTGGTTACATTCGAAAATTTGGTGCTGCGGCAGCAAAAATAGTAACAAATCTACTGGGATGTCGGAGAATCTGAGGACAGATAGAGATAGAAAAAAATATTCGCAGGAAAAAAGCAGTATAAAGCTTCCAAAAAGAATGAATCCTTTTTTTCATCAAAATTCTTTCAGCTAAAAAAAAAGATAACCGAAAATAACTGCTTTTTGGTATTTCTTTAGCCCTATTCTCTCTCTCAATTTTCCATTTTGTCTCCGTTTCATTTTCTCTGCCTTTTTCTCAGTTTGCTGTGTGCTGCACTATGTATATGCACTTTTTTCAATCTTCTTGAGCCCTCGGAACGTCCATAGCATCAAAAT